AAGATGGTGACAGCCAAAATGCCAAACTCAAGGCTTCAAAACAGGAGTCAACAGTCTGAGAGGTGATGTAATGGTAGCTACGTCTGGTCCAGCACATGATACATGACCAAACAGGGCAGGTCTGACTTATTATCACTGCCCATACACTGCTACAATGCCTTACAGTTTGCTTTAGTTATTTACATTTGTATTAGTTATTATTTATTAGCTAGCACACACATAGTTAGGACATAACAGCAGTTAAGCTTTAGAGGCTGTAACATTTGCTGTCACTCACCAACACCACAGCTTCCTGTCTGTTTCTTTCACACCAGAAATACTCAAATTGTTTTGCCCGGGGGCCACGTCTGTAAATCGACAGGAGGTCAGGGGCCAGTCAGCAGCCTGGCACATGCACACAGGGCCGTAACTATGATTTGAGGATGCTTTAGGTTTAATCTAGTAGTTTATATTTTCCCTGTGAATTAGAAAATGGTTTGCAGGGCCACCCAGCACCTTACTGGGGGCCAGATTTGGCTCACTGGAAATAAGTTGAGTATCACAGTTTTACACCAACACCAGGATTATTACTAACGTTAACAGTTTATTCTCCAAACTAATGTAAAGCGTCTGCTGGCTAACGTTAGCTAATCAAAGTGCAAATGCTAACTTAGTTAACTGAGTAGTATTGAAAATTGGCAGTTAGCGCCACCTCCTGACAATAATAGGAAACAATAGCCCTCCTGAATATTATTTAATCTCAGTAACAGTTTGAGGGTTGGTTATTATCAGTGGCATATCCAGGACATTTTCACTGGGGTGGCCAAGATGGGACACAAAGCTAGTGTGGGGTGGCCATGGCATAGCGAAGAATAATGCCACGTACGCAGCCAACCCCGGTTCGAATCCTGGCCAGAGGAACTTAGCTGCATGTCACATCCCCTCTCTCTCCCGTGATTTCCTGTCTCGTAACTGTCAAATAAAGGTGTCTATGCAGGTAAAAAAATATTTGAAAAAGAAGAATCTTTTTTTTTTATTGCATTTCCACCTATCACAGTCCTCAGGAATCTCTGGTTATTTTAACATGTCGACTTTTAATCAGTAGTTATGTTCAGGATAGGGTACAAATTTTCTAAGAGCCATTTCCTTATAGTGGATTAAAGTCCTCATCTCTTCAGTTAGATTAGGGTAGCAATATTCAACTGCTCTTAACTCATCCTATAGAATAACATTAATCAGTCATCAGCTCATCATCTGTGTCACCTGTATTGTTACCTGTGTTTGCTCTACTATTTGAGGCGCCATCTTGTGGTTACATAAAAACACAGCAATCCAGGCAACAGAACAAACCAAAAAATTCAAATCAAGGCTTAATACTTAAAGATAGGCCTTATTAAAAAGTTTATCTGTAAGCAAAAAGATAAAATAAGCTTGTAAGGAAAAAAGGATTATTTGTTGTTCTTTACTTGCTTGGTTCATGGTATTATTTAGCTTAGATATAATTTGTTGGAGATACTGGAATTGGATTTTTTTGGTTTGTTCTTTATCAGGTGTGTTTTTATTTAACCACAAGATGGGGCCTAAATTAGTAAAGCAAACATAGGTAACAATACAGGTGACACAGGTGAAGGCCTGATGACTGAATAATGTCATTATATAGGATGCCTTATGATGTACGAAAAGGGGTCTGCCCATTTTTCCGACAGCCCATTGGTCCGACATCCCATTGTTCCGACCATATTAAACCCATTGTTCCGAAGTCCCGTTGTTCTGAAATCATCATGATGCCCTGTGGTTAAGGTCTGGTTAGGTTTAGGCACAAAAACCACCTGGTTAGGGTCAGGAAAAGATCATGGTGTGGGTTAGGGTTAGGAAAAGATCATGGTGTGGGTTAAAATGAAAAAGAAAGTGGCAAACACATAAGCCGTGAGCCTGCTTTGCCTCAAGCCTTTCCCAGCTGACCCAGAGCTGGTCGCGACACACCATCAAGGCAGAAATACGCCCGCC